TCTCTAAATGTCACACTTGTGCTCCTGCAGCAGTTCTGCTGTCGTAGCAAAGTAACCTTTTCTCAGAGCTGTGCAGACAACACGTGCTTTACATTCCTCTCCTTTTGATTGCACTCACCAGAGTTACCAAGAATGAGATGAAGCAGGATTACAATGCTTCACAAAAGGAAAAATTGTAACCTTTATAGTGCAGAAACTGAATGAAGCCTGGACATCTAGATTAATCTTTTTAATGAAACGGATGGTTTTGACAAGCCCTGATTAAAAAAGAGTGTGTTAGTTTCCTCTGCGTCTATTGCGTATGATGGATGTTGTATTAATGCACAGATTCAGAACTGGCGGTGCCACAGTGCTCCCTGTAAGAAGTGACATATTCAATTGCTGATAAGTCAGCTGGGTTCAGTTTGCTACCAGCTAATTGTTAGCATGGCAGGAATGTTGTCATAGGTCCGACTGTCCGAAGGGAGGAGGGATAGTTTTCCATGACCTGAAATAGGATCTATTTGGCATGATGCATTTTAAATGCCGGACCATTCTTTAATTAGCAGCAAAACAGACTAACCTCATAATCTTACTAACAAAGTTCAACATGTAGTTTCGCATTTTGATTTTTCCCTTTTTCCATACAAGTGTCAACCTGCTGTGCAGGGAAGTATTGTAGAATATGAGTGAATAATTGTGTCTACTGGATCTTTGGGGCTAATCAGTTATTTATTTAATTCTTTTCTGATTGACTGTGCTGAACTGGCATCCAGACATGATGTGTTTAATTTGATTTAAAAGTCACCTGAGTAAAATCCACAAGCCGGATGACAGGAAAACGTCAATGAGATGGGAAGAAGAGCAGAAATTCAGCAGGTCAATATGACAGCCGAGGGAGGCATTTTGCTCAGATGGTAAAGGGGAAGCAGCACAGATGGCTGATAAGAAGGAATGGGTCATGGATGATTTGGATGTCTCAGGTATTAGAGAGAGCCCTTTGCAATGGACATAGCTGGCTTATCTTGTGTACATATCGTCTATCACTACAAAGATAGCGCTACGGTCATTGAGAGTAGTTTACAGGTGATTTGGGTACTGTTAAACAGCGCTAGTTCGTGTACTTTTCTGGCATGCATCTCCGAAAATTTCAAACCTTAATCCTTATTCTAAATGCAAAAGAATGGTCTTTGTCTTTGTGACCGGGAGGACAGCACATAGACACACTGATTGTGGAGGATGAACACTCATGGTGGGACCTTAATTTGACTTGTAAAATTGATCTCATAATGCAAGAAAAGAAGGCTCCTGGTGGTTTATTTTTATGAACAGCAACATGAAGCACTGAGCTACCCACTATGAGTTAAAAAGAGTTTCCAAATATCTATCACAAGAAACGACAATAAAAATAATATTTTTAACATCTCTACCGTTCCTCACAAATCATTTTTTTTTATTATATTAATTGGAAACTGGTCTTTCAACTCACTCAGGCCATGCAGTATCTTTCTGTCAACAACTGCTGATTTAAAAGGCAAGTCCAGACAGGACCACTGTGTAAATGAACAATAAAGATAAATAAATGGGTCGTAATAACATAGCTAAGCACCGAGTACTGAGGGCAAATGTCTGTAATAAACCCTTAATATACAGAGTACGTTTGATCAAAATCTAACTGACAAATCATGGATTGATAATAAAAATAAATTTAGCTGTTTATTCTCCTGAAGATTAACATTTAATCGGTTTTGATGACTTACATTAGACACATGACATAACTGTTAAAAACACACATGTATCATCACGGCCAGATATCAGATATAGCTTTAATGGAAGGATAAAAGCTTTTTAAATTGTATTTAGCCTATATTTTTGTCTGAAATTTGATACTAAATACGTCATATTCACAAGTTTCAGAGAATTCACTGCTCTTTTATCTACGCATGCATACAGTCTGTGCCTTATAAAAAGTCCACTGACATAATGGTGGAAGTTAATCCTGCCATCCACAAGCCAGCTTAATAATAAACATAGCCTTATTTGTAAATGACAAACACACATGGAGAACACAAAGGTGGGAAATGACAGAATAGCTTTGCTTCCACAGTCACTTGTTGTTGACATTGTTTCTGTGCAGTAACGCGATACTTCCTCTTCTGTGAGTGTGTTTAGGATCTGTTTGTCTAAACACTGCCAGAAAAACGACCTGGTGTTTGTCCTTTGCTGTGTTCTAACGAGCAGTAATACTTAAATGCTTAATCCAGTTATTTGTGTTTACTTGCATGGAACCTGTGGTTTAAAACCAGCGTATTGTTAATCCCTGTAAGGTGACATACAGGTTTGTCTGGCTTTTGAAGACAGAACACTGTAATCAGACCTTTTCAAGCCTCTTGATTGGTGGAGAAGATGGAGTTAAGTGACCACCCTGATGCCAAAGTTTGAGACAACAAATTTCAAAGAGGATCAGCATCTTCAATCCATTATGTCACCGGGTAAACAAAGCCAGTGTGGTGGTATTTCAGCAGAGGTGTTGTAAAGTAATCGAGGATATGACCTTTGGTCTGTGCCAGGGTGAGAGTTTTTCTTCCAGAATAAACTTCTGGGCCCTATTTTAGCAGTTTTTTTAGATACAAAATATTTTCTATTAATTTAGTTTTGCAGCTAAATTCAGATAAATAGACCCTAGGGTGTCGCATCATGGAAGTTTTGAAGACAACTAAGCAAGCAATTAAAATCAAGACACCAAACTGAAACTGTAATCAATCAGGCTTGTTTCTTTGCACTTCGTTCACTGCTCTGTCATCTCAGTGTTTGTGTCACAACATGGGAGTGAGGGAGGGAAGCATCAGGATGAATCACCACCTGGCCTTCGCAGTGTTATGATCCAGGCACACCCATTCTCCAGAGAGGCCCAGACCTGTTCAGAGACATTAGGAGATCAGGTGGCACAGCATCCTGACAGATCATTTAAGTAATTGGGAGGCTGGAAGTATACTACCTAAAAACTAGATAGAATGGCAGTGAATCCACAAAGATAAAAACTAAATTTGGTTCATGGGAGGGGGCAGAGATGACTATATCTCTTTGAGCTAAAGTCTGAGGCAAATCACTTGGAAGAGGCCTAATTCGGTTTACAAGCCTTGGGGCGGTGAGCTCTTGAGACCGCTGACTCAGACCGGAGACAGCAACCTGAGGAAACAGTGAGGAGAAAAGGTTATTTCCACAGTAGGCTAAGCTGTGTGTAACACCAAGCGGTGGAATTTTACCAACTTCAACTGCTTGTGTAACTATTAATCCCCTTAGTATACTTATTCATCTTACAACATGGCAGGCTGAGAACAATGAGACTGCATTACAGTTTGTTTGCTTTAGAGACAGGCTTTTAAAATAACTGCAAGACAGATGTGTGTGTAGGCAGGACAATAAACCGTGCAGTGACTGCATTTCATGCAAGGATCACATTCCTCAAATGCTTCCATCGGCAAAAATTTAAATTCAAATGGAGGATCCATGTTAAAATGGCATATGGTACAATACAGCTCATAAACGCGTCTAACCGAGAAGCAAGTTGCTATCATTCTTGGTCCATTGCTGTCATGACAGATTTACTAGAAAAAAATTTAAAACTAAAACTTCAAAGGCTTTACAAACATTATAGAGTCTGATAGAGCTGCTGTGCTGCATTGTTCTGACTTAGCTCCTCATTGCCTATTCCACTTATTCACTTTATTTAACTTTTTTTTCTCAGCTCCTTTATATTTATAGTTTTCTTTATACAGTTAAAAAAAAATATATCCACAGCATTTATTACCTAACCTACATACAGACCATGCTGTACCTGGTAGCCAAGCAACGACATTTAGTTGTCAAAGTCACTATGAGGCTTTGTACAATGACAATAAAGGAAGTGTACGCCTAAATCCTATTCCTAGAATCACTGGGGTCTAGGGCTGATTGAAAAGCAAAGAAGCCTCTAGGATGAAGTTTGTGAAGAAATTCCTGTAATTTGATGCCTGCTTAGAAAACAAAACTGTGCAAGAAAAGAATTGATCACGCTATTATCATTTAAATACTGGTACCCTCCCGCGTAAACACATGTATGCAAAACGCATGTCCCCAAATCTGTGTTTAATGAATGATCTAAATCCCCACACGATCTGCTCATTGTGTCTTCAGTTACCCATAGGGGCCGTTTTTCTAATCTTCCACTTAATATATATGTTCTAATATTCATGTTCACATTATTCTCAATATATTGATCATACTTTCCTCCCTTTTGAAGTAAAAGAAACCCTGGTAAATCCCATGTCAGGCGCCAGGGGGCAGGGGAGAGCCAGTTTCAAAGCAAAGGGTCACTGATGGATCATTTAAAAGTCAACACAATGAAGTTTATCCCCTTTCATTTAATTTCAGCAACAATCGAAAAGAATTTCCAAGCATCTCAGAAGCAATTACTTTTGACCAACTGAAAATGATTAATTTATGTTTTCCCTTTACCTGTCTGTTATTGTGTACATTTGAGGGAGGAAAGATAGGTACAATTTGACTCGCATTTAGGAACTTTTTAAAGGAAAACCTTTTTGTTTAAGTTTCTTCTGTCTAAGTTTTATATCGCCTTTTGTCATATGTCTATGATTTTGGCCGAAGTGTTCCCCAACAGACACGTTTACAATGTCGATCCACCCCCATTTACGTAATAAAGGCACTTTAAAAAGCTGTGATAAGGTCACAGCGTCCTTAAAATGTTCGTATGGCATTTTGCATTCTCTCTGGTATCACTTCACCATTGCTGGAGGGCTTTTTTGCTTGTGGGTTGAGGTCTTTTGACATCTCCAACATCTTCTGGCAGCAATACTGCAGCATTGGCAGTTGAGAGCGCTCGTAACTACATTGTATCACCTCTAAAGAATTAATATTGGGTTGCTGCAACTTTTAGGGGCCTTTCCTCTTCTCCTGCTCTCTGAATGTGTTTGGATAGGCTGATCTCGCGCGTTAAACATCCCTGTTATTTGAGGCGCTCCAGGGATTTAGCGAGCATGCCCAGTGCAGTCCTCTCAGAAACAGTGGAAACCACTGGTGCAGCATTGGAGTCATACCAAGCATAGCCTGCGTGTCAGTGCAGTCGACTTACAGCTGGCTGTGAGGAGAACTGTAGCTACTCTTTTGTTTTTTTGTTTTGTTTTTTGCTCTCTATCTTCTCTCTACACTCCTATTCGAACAAAGTATCGTGAACTGTTGAAACAACTACGACTGACCACTTTCCGCGTCGGCAATTTTTTTTTTTTAATATAAACGAGGTTTCTAGAAAACAAAAGTTGGAGGCTGGGCCTTTAGCTTTTTTGACCGTCGCTCGAGAGGAGAAGAAAAAAAGCTGGTCTTTTTGTTTTTTTTTTAATGAAAGCTCGATAAATGCTACTTACGAAGATGGACCTGTTGAACTACCAGTACCTGGACAAAATGAACAACAACATCGGCATTCTCTGCTATGAGGGTAAGCGGGACTGGCTGTTTGTGGGCGTTATTACGGTTGTTTTTTAAACTTCCCAGTGGCCGTTACGCCGATAATCCACGTTAACGACGTACTTGGTCGAAGTTTTCTCTCAAGTTTTCGCATTCGTTTGTGAAGTTACCAACACCTATAACGACCATTGTCCGATTAAAATTACCTTTTTTCAGATTATATACAGAACTATTGCTATGCATTCACAATGTATGAATAGAACTTGTATTTGGTCTTTAACGACCGATGTATGTTACGTAGCAACGGAGTTAAGCGGTGGCTTCAATTTACTTGAGTTAGCTCGTTTGGTGGAAGAAAATTTCGAATCTGAGTTTTCAAGTTCAGGATTTCATTCAGTCTGTTCTATCGTTTTGTTGAAAAAAACTAAATTGAATGACTTTAGCTACGGCTTTCCATGTTATGTCGTGAGGGTACCAAGCAGGAGTATTTCATGACTTTGAACCGACTCCCTGCTCTGCTCTGCTGGAGGTGCTCATGCCATGCGTTGTCACATCTCTCCTGTCTGGAGGCAAATTTAGCAAGTTCTCTCCATATCTCTACTCTGGCCTCCACTGCAGAATCACACGGGTTACTTTAGCAAGAGAGGAGCAAGTCCTCTCCCTGTTCCCACCTTTTCCTGTACTTTTATTGTCATTGTGTTACGGTTTTTTTTTTTAGCTTTTCTTGTATCTGATTTGTATCACTGTTAAAGCTGTTTGGCTGAAACCCATTTTGCTGAGAGGCACACAAATGAACACAAACTTTGGAAGCTTCTACCAGAAGAAGAAAAAAATATTTTATTGTTTTGCATGTAGTAGAACAATAATTTGGCTTGTTTCCATTATTTTTTTGGATAAGGGGTTAAATTAGTGTAAATTGTATCAAATTGTAGATGAGATAAAAAAATGGATTCCTCATTTTTCATTTTCCTGAGATTGATACCAGTCAAATGGGGGTTGTGTGTGTTTTGCCATGAATCCTGTCTGTCTCTTGAGAAAATGACCCATGAAGGGGTATTTTATACTTAGTGTCACTTTGATGAAGATGAACTTGAATACAATTTTTCTTTTTTTTTTCTCTGGATGTATATCTCTGCACAAGTAGTTCTGTCATTCATATTTTAGTTTAACTCTGAGCATTGCTGACTGAACAAAAATCTCCCTCCATAGTGTGCCTTATGATAAGAAAACAAAAGATCAGGAGAAAGAGCTCAGCAGAAAAAAGGAAAGCCCCTCGAGTTCAAGCATGTCGAGCCAAGAAAGGATTGGAAGAGCTTTGTGATACTGTGGGTGTCCTGACTTGTTATTATATGCATGAGCACACCTACTCAAATACACTTCCTGGCAAACAGACAGACATGCATGCTCGTACTGGTACACTGTCCTCCCAGCTTCAGGTCTGTTGTGAAGCAGCCACATTGTTGTCACTGTTGACACTCAAAATCAAGCACAAGTGTGACTGGGCTCTCACATGTGGACCCACTGAGATTGGCTAAATTCCTTAATGTGAGACTTATTTAAGAGACAAACCTTTTTAAAAATGAAGGGTTTTAGATGTTTTATAATGACTAATATTTTTGTCTTTCATAGTTCCACATAATTCTTTAACATCATCTACCTCTGATCAGACAAGTGTATGCAATATTTTATTGTTAACAGTTAAATGGGATTTTCTCAGGTTTGAATCCTGTTTTGATTTTTTTTTTTAACAAAATAGATACGTTTTTATTAACTGTATGTTATTTTCCTGATGTCTGTTTCCCTCCATTTCTGTCAATTCTTTATAGAAAGAGTACAGCAGCACATTGATAGATGGATATGTCAGACTCAATGTGAGACTTAGTGATATTTTTCTGAGCCTGATCCTTGATGACGGCGCTCATTCACTTGCAGAGGGAACTACAGTTATGCATAGCTCTGCCAGGTAGCACAGGAAGGTTAGTAAAGATGGAGGTGGTGGATCAGGCATATTTGAACTCCTTTAGAGGTTAGTGGATCTACATGTCAAATTAGGATCAAACATCAAATTTAGTTCAATAAAGTGCATTTATTGAACTAAACATCATTCCCTGTACAGACCGTAATATAGGTGAAGTTCATTTTGGGGAAGAGTTTTGGTCCGTAGTTTTGCCATAAAATTGAATGGCAGAGAATTAAGCCACATGATATTCTACTAATCTTTCCTTGCTTTGTTCTTCTTTCTTTCATTGTCCATCTGATCACATTTTTCTCTCTGTAAAGCTGCCATCGGTTGTAAGCCTGGCAGTGATGGTGAATGCTGACCTTCTCTTTTTGCTGCTGAGCAGGAAAAAACAAGCCAGACTGAACACCACCTCAAAACCATGTACTTTTGTAGAATGCTCTTATGTTTTGTCAGTCTGTCTTAGTCTTTTTCTCTCTATCAGAGATCCAGCCAGTTTAGCTCAGAGTTTGAAAGTTCAGATCATACACACAAAAATGTCTGTAGAATAACTTTTTTCTACATCCTTTTGAATATTTCAGGGTTAAAAACAAAACCTTTGGACTTAGATGATAAAGGCAACTCAGAGGGTAGTTGGGGTTTACTGAGAGAATCAGCCAACAATAACTACTCTGCTGTTTTACAAAGAGAAAAGACACTTTATGCTACGTATTTACTTCAATACCAAAGAAATGGGAAGAGGAGGAAGAGATGGAAACTTCAGTTTGTAATCTAATCTGATCCTGATTTAGAGCTGTTTGAAGTTCTATCAAGAGAAATAAGCTTTGATCGTGTTGGCCAAATGAACACAGAGAGGCAGAAGCCAGAGTGGAGTTTTAATTTCATACTGCCCTCTTTCCACTGATTTATTGAAAGAAAAACAATCACTTTTTAGGGTTCTTTCTTCTCTGAACAAATATAAGGAGAAACTATAGTCATTCTGTTTGATATGTAGAGCAGACATTGCAGCAACATTATTTAAATTAGATATTTGAGTACCTTTCCTTTAATTTGAAGGTAAATTGAAGAAAATTGCAGAAAATTGTTTTGCTCCTTTGTAGCTTTTGTCATCTTGTTTCTTTACCTATTTAAGCATTTTTCTTGTCTTCCTCAGTGCACATGTAAAAGTTGGTAGTGCATTTACAACCCAAGAAACATCATCTTTCATCCGTTTGTCTGTTTAGATCTAATGAAAGAATCAGCACAGCACTCCTGCTAAGTGTTTAGCTTGAATCTACATTGTTGACAGATTACATTTGACATGTATCTTCATTGATTTAGATTTAGATCAGAGTACTTCATTGGTGGATGAGTATGCTGGTTCTTAGGTTCAATTTGGAATATTCAGTGCTTAGGAGGAGCTAGGTCAACAACATCGACTTCTTGTTTTCTAGGAAACTCTTCCATATTTTCTTTTTGTTGAGCACCTCCCTCACTGATAATCTTTTGTGCGCCCTAGATCCCGGTTGGATAGTGTGGTGTCACAGTCTTCATCCTTTATTACCATCTCTCTGCCCTGCCAAAAACAATGATGTCACCCTTGTTGCCATGGTCACAGCAGGGCAAGCAGGAACATGCCAGAGAGAGGAGGAGCAGCTTCTGTATTTCTGAGGCCATGCACAAACTAAATATAAATCATTGAGTTGTGAAGGAATAGAACATTTTATTACACTGTGTATGCTGCCAGGAATTATTCAGTGAATCTCTGTTACCCATCCCCATCTTTCTATGGACAAAATATTTTGTTTGTTTTTGACAGTATTTGTTAGAATATCTAATATAAAGCAGAGTCTTTGGGGCTTTTGGGGGATGGCAGTTATGTGTTTGGAAACAATTTGCATTGTAGTATATGAGTTGCTAGGGAGAAAAGGGTAGATTGCAAGGGAGAGTTTAGTTCAGGCTTTATTTTATCTGGGAAAAATCAGACAGATACATGAGGTTGAAGCAGTGGAAAGTCCCCATTCTGAGACCGAGCCAGTGGTAGTTTTCCTAATTCTCTTTTGCTCGTACTCCCACTCACAGACAGCTCTGTAGGCCCTCTGTACCAGCACAAGGCTGTAGGGAGAGAAATAGTTCACACTACACATACACGAATGTGGAATCCATCCACAGCTATTTCTCTCAAAACATACTTGACCAGATACTCCTCTGCTTATGCCAGAGGTTTGTGCCTCTCTCAGCTGAATGCATAAGTCAACAAAATCCAAAGTTTGAGCTGAAACACAACCTGGACAAAAAATCACTGTCATGAAGTAGTTTTTGTGGTCAATTTGTTTAAAGAGGCAATATAACTGTTACTTACTACTTTAAAGTACTATAATTTTGATCAATTACAATAATTTACATTTACTTTATGGTAAGTTTGGAAGCGTCACTTTGTGAGTTGTCAGCAACTCCATTTTAAACGGCCAGAATTACAGTGACGGGTGAACTTACCTGATCTGACTCACACTGGCTTAAATTCCCTTGGCCTGCAGTAGAGGTTCAGTAATTCTGATGACTGTCTATTTCTCTTCTGTTTGCTCGTCCTTACTTCCTTTTTCAGGTGAAGCAGCTTTGAGAGGGGACCCCAGACTCCAGTCCCTGTCCCTATCATCATCTTCCTCATCTTCATCATCATCTTCCTCCTCTTCCTCTTCCATCTCCAGCCACAGGACAGGCCCTCCTCCAATCAGCCCCACCAAGAGGAAGCTGAGCGGGGACCAAGGAGACAGTGACATGGATGACAACGAGCATGTGGCAAAAATGAGTCGACTGTTTGCTGCACAGCTGTGAGTCCACACACTGAGACACACTCATGCATTTGTGTGAAATAGCATGCTCCCACTCACATACTTTCCAATTAATATTAATCAAAGAACTTGGAATTCAATTATTTTATAGCTTTCTGCTCCGCGAGATGCTTTTGAAAAATTGAGGTCTTTGTTTTGTTCTATCTTTTTTTATTTTTCTGCCTGCCTCTTTTTGTCATACTCTGTATCTAAAACAGTCTTAGTACCTAAACACTATTTATACCATCCATATGCACATATTACATTTTGTTTGCCTTGGAACCAAACACTTCCGTTGGTTATGTGTGGGCTGCACTGGGAGATCTTTCTCAGAAGTCCCGGTTTGGGCCGCAGAGTGCTCTGCCAGTTTTGGCTGGCTGTACAGCACTATACACCTCATATAGCTGCAGATCTCATGAGTCTTAGAAACAGGAACTCCACAACAGAAAAATGACTCATACTGTTCCCACATTCCCGCTTTCAGGGATTCCAGAGAATGTGGAGTGCTGGTTGGTGGTGGGGGACTACAGGGGTAGAGACCAGTGAAGTCTGTCAGTCATGGGATGCCAGTCGTTGCTATTTATTGCAGATAGGAAAGGAGGTGTTAACTAGTTCTGTGCAGCTTTTTATGCCCTCTGCTCTCAGCCAGTACATCCAGAGTGACAAATTAAAAAATATCTAACTTATGAAATGACACCATAGATTAAAGTGAAAGGAGTGGAGTAAAGAGTTTGAGTGTGAAATTGTATGTAATTCATAGAATTATTCACACACATCGGTACCATGCACATTTGTACATGTTAAAATGAAGTTTTATAATTTGCACAACTTAAGCATCAGAGACATCTGCATATTTTAATTAAAATTTAAATTACCTATACTGTATGATTAACTCAGCAAGAAACTGTTTAAATGAAATAAAATGTTAACATATCTGTGTTGTACAAGCAGTGTTACAGCATTACAGGAAGAAATATAGGACTTTTTAATCAAGGTGTTCTAGTGGCATGAAGGGAAGTGGCCATTTCTTGATCTTATGACCACTGGGGCTCACATAACAAAGGCTTATGCATCCTCACAATTGTGTAGAGTCATCTGGTATTCTGTTAGGGATGGACCAGCAGTGGCAAAACCAACATAACTCTCAACACTGAAACCAGCCAATAATTCCATCTTGTCCTTGGTGTATTATTCTGCTCTCTGAAATGGCTTCACTGTGTGAGACATTATAGATGGACTTTGTGGTTGACTTCATGCATGCATTCATAACTAAATGCTCCCACTTTTGTATCACGAGTTGAATTTTCACACAAGTCAGTGTGTCAAAGTACAAAAGACCTTATTGTTGTGCGTGCTTTCATTTTGTCCAGCCGTTGCTTCTACATGAAATTTAGTTAAGTTAGAAAATGGTTTGAAATTCCATTAATGCAAATAGAGTTTAGGTCTCAGGCTTATAAGCCCCCCCCCCCCCCCCCCCCAAACACGTTTTATTCTTCATTTAATTCTTAGTTAAATGAATTAAGATGAACTGGTGCTCTTGACTTGATGCAACAGTTAGACAAATTTGGCCTTTCTAGTTAACTGTTTTTTCCGTGGAGACTCAGTTCCTTCAGGGTTACGATAGATTAGCCTTTTTCCCATCTGTCATTTAATTTGAGCTTTCTCTGAGGGCATTCTTTCCCTGGTAAAGCTAACTGCTGAGCGACTTGTTTAGACCTGCTCTAAGAGTTGACTTCTGAAATGTTTCCCAGTTTTAACTCTTCTGTACCCCTTCACAGAAGCAATATGCTAAAGAAGGATTGTGTAATCTTAGAAAAGATAAGGTGTTCTTGTAAAAGCGCGGATTGCAGAGCTTCAAGTGAAACATTGTAGAATGCTATAGTAAACAGATATTGGTTCTTTTTTTACCTAAAATCCATAGACTTTTTTTCCCTTCAGATTCATTCAACCTAGGTGTCATTTGTAGGTAGAGTGATGGGATTTCACTGGATGATTTTGTTTGCTCAACCTGAAGTTAACAATTTCTGCACTCAATGAATCTTTTGTTTCTGATTTGCTTTTTTCCGAGGAATAAAATGTATCTGTTTTGCTCAAATGGGAGTTTTCTTTTTCTTTGTGCTGACTATAGTAGAGTTTTTGTGTGAACGTGTGTGTGTGTGTTAGCACAGTGAGTGTTGAGAAAAACACCTGACACCTTATATTCAAGGCGGGGCCCCACAGAGGTGGATGTTCGGGTTTCTTTTGTTGTTCAGACTTCAACAAGCCAAAATCTGAGCGAGTTATTTGTCTTAGTGATGGAGAAAGGAAAAACCTCTTGAAAGTCAAACCTTTAATGCTGCAGTATTTTAAGGTATAGATTCAGCTCTGCCTTGGTGGCTTAATGTATTTCTTTTTCAGCAGGGTTACTGTTATTCGGTAAGCATTTTTCTTTATTTTCTGCTATGAAGTGTATTAAAATGTCTGAAAGTGAATGTGTAAAAAGAAGTCTGGATAAGTATGTTGACAGTGCTCGTGGGTGACTGGTAATGTGGATTTAAGTCTGCATCTGTTTACGCAGGTATGCACATGTGTTATGCCTGTTGTCCATACATGCATGTGTGCTTTCCCATCTGTGATCATGTGTCTGTATGTATGTGTGTGTTTTTGTGGAGTGAGGTCAGGCAGTAGGGACTACGTTCTGATTTTCTCTGAGCAGTAGGAGGAGCCTTGAACAAAGAAGCCTTATCCTGTCCACTGGAGCCTGCGGGCTGGAAGCTTGCTGCAGCTTGTTTGCCTGCCCGCCACTATAAAACTCCTCAGCTGTTTCATTCCTTTTGAAACAAAAGAGCCAGAGATATTATTTAGATTTTGAAATCTTGCATAAAACACATTAGATTGCACAGAGGGCACAAGTTGGATATGGCTAAATATGACAAGTAATACAATCCTGTTTTTGTCAAAAGGTTCACAAATGTACTCCCAGTAATATCAGACTTCTTCCTCCCAAGAGCTGAAACTAACTTCTGATTGTCTGGTGAACTTACTTTGATGCTCTTTACAGTCTTATTTTTCTTCTTGAAATTGATAATCAGACAGCTTAAAAAGCTAAAAAATATTGACAATGAGGCCTGAATCTTTGCAGCAGTGTGTAACATTTGTGTTGCGTAGTGACATTGCCGTCAAAGGTTTTTCTATACATAATTTAGAGTGGCTCCATGTAGGATACAGATACTGCAGCTGTGTTTTACTGGGAACTCCATCACTAAGTTGTTCTCATGGGAGTTTCTCCAGAGGCCAAATGGGGAGAAAATAAGAGCAAGAGAGTCAGTGAGTACGTTTGTATGTCCAAGGCTGGGGAAGTCATTGTTACGCTGTTGTTTTACATGGGACTATTTATGTAATGAGCATGTGAAGAAAGGAGGGAGATTTTTTTTCTTTCTGAATGTATGATTATATGTGTACAATTTGTTTTCTTTGCCTTCTTGTGGCTGTTCTCATATCCGATCCCTTGCAGCTTTGATAACAAAACACTTTGGTCCGTTTCGTCTATGCAGCCATCTAACTGAGAAAAAAATCTGTCAGTGTTTCAGGGGGATTTAACATGTCAGTGTCCATCCATCCATCCATCTATCCATATTTGTGACCGCTTATTCCTTAATGGGGTTGCGGGGCATGTCAGTGTCAAGTTCTGCAAAACTTTCTTATTTGCCTTACATGTCTTTATGGCATTATGTAATTTGGCAGCTTTATTCTATCACAGGATATCTTTTAAAGGTGAATTTCCTGCTGGATTCTGTTCATTTGTCCAAAAAAGATACATTTTGATCTACTTATGCTGCTCCAACCAGCATCGAAGGCCAGGACTGGGTTGAGATGTTAGTATACTTTATAGACATAACATGGGTAAACTTTGTGGCCCCCTTTGTGTGAATGTGTGTCTTTGTACGTGTGTGTATATATATGAATATATATATACATATTCATTTTTATATATTCATATATATATTTATATATTCATTTTTATTTTTTGGGGGTGGTTACTATAGACCTTGCAGAGCTTAGATCTGGTTGTAACCTGTGGTCTAGCCTTCATCCTCCTCCTCTGTTTTTTTCTTTTTCTTTTGTGGGTCTGTTCCTTTCCAGGCCTTGATTTTTTCCAGATGTTTCCTGTGTGTATCTCTTTCTTTTTTGTTTTTGTTCCTTTTTGAATTTATTTCCTAAAGGAGAACGATATGAACCTGTGCCCAGGCTGATATGTGCAGGGAGGACTTCAGTGTACAACTGTGAGAAATAAAGTACAACATATTTATAGCTCCCATGTGAAATATGAGTAACTGACCCTTTTTTAAGCTAATACGTTTATTAGTCTTATTTACTTTTCCATGATTAAAAACGGAAATACAACAGTAACCCTTGTCTTTGATGTCATTCAGACGATCACAATCTTGAACTTGAGGTTAAGTTGAAGACAGGGTGTGATTTTCAGTGGTTACTTAAAAGGCTGTATTTAATGACAGATCTGAGTAGTTCAATATTGTTCAAGAAATATCACTATATCATTTATGTATTGAGGGTTCTGACTCTGGGTTTTAAATGAAGGGATCTTACAGTAAGTTCCCACCACAGTGACTACCACTAATGCCAGGCTACGCATAACCCAGACTCTTGTAAAATGGAATGAAACAGATATCTGCTTTGGTTTCATTGTGCCAAGCACTTCATTCTCACACTCAGTCATACAGTTTATGGAGGAAGCATTACTTATGGGATCTTAGCCCTGCTTTGTAGTGCCGTAACACTAAAGTGTGTCTTCATTCTTCATTTTTTTCTTGATGGTACGTTCTGCTATGGCTACTGTAATATCTTTGTTCTCATTTTTAAAAGCTCATACCCTTTTTGCCACTTTGAGCTCTCATCTTCTCCTCTAGTCCCCGACATGCTAGCCTGCTCTCCTTTGGTTCAAGGCCTTGCTACCACCCTCATACCCATGTGTCATGCGTAGCCCTCACCAGTCGCCTTTACATCCTCTCCCTCTCTCCCCAGCTGCAACCTTAGTGATAATTGAGTGGTGAGTAAAGAGAGACAAAGAAAAAGAGGCCGAGTGGGTTTCGAAAGCCTGATCCCTGACATGAAATGTGGTTTGGTGGGTAATCAGATCAGGGGGAAGGCGGGGGTGGTGGCTGATTGGACAGCTACACCCTTCGTTGGAGGCATTTCTCGAGTCCATTCACTGGCTCCTCTTGACAGCATGTCTTAGGGGGCCATGCTTTGTCTCGAGCAATGATAAAAATTTCAACTTGCGTAGCCTCACTGAGGACTCAGTTGATGGCCAAGGATTAGAGATCTCTGCTATCAGCCCCATTGAGCTTTGATCGGTTAGAGTAAAAAATAAAAGACTGAAAAGCATCTTTGTTTTTTAAATATATGTGACTTATTTGCTTTAATATTATTTGAACTTGATTTCAAAATGATCAACTCTATCAATGGAGCTATTGAATATTAAATTCATATTTAAATCAAACCAACTGATGGCAGTAAGAGTAAACATAAAAGCTTGTTGGTGAGTTGTGGACCAAGGTTTATATAAGTTCTGCCAAGTCTGTCCCTCTGTTAACCTTCAGGAAGTTTGCTGCAGATTGTAAGGAAAATAAAGGGAAATAAGAGGCAAAAGACTGTGTGTGGTTGTGAGGGGGTGGGGGTGGGAGGGTGTTCTTTGCTGTTGTAAGCTCTCGGCACAAATGCAGGAAACTACCGACCTCGCTCTTTCATAAACTAAAGGTCTGGTCCATTCACATGCAGCTCCCCCTTTCCCACCTCTTCCTCTCTTCTGTTTTCTGGATGGTTCTGTGGACTCCAGATGCATGAGCCAGCAGTCGGGTTGCCTGGTCACATGGATCTACAACTGTTTGTCTGAAGTTGTTGTTTTCTATCCAAACAAACCTTCCTGAGTTCCTGCTGCCTTTATGTGTTCTCAGTTACATTTAACCGTAGTTAAGTTATGCCCCCATAGGGTTTCTGGTAAAGCTGTTTTTTTAATGTATTTTTTTAATCCCGTCCTTTTTGAAGTGTAGTTTATCTACATGTGAATATAACAGACTTTCCACAGTTATGCCTTACTCGTGTTTTTAAGCGTATGCCTGTATGTGTGTGGGTGCTTGTGTGCGTGTGTGTGTGTGTGTTTATCTGTCCTTGGATGAGTAAAAGCAAGTGTTTATGGAGTTGAGCGGTAAAAGAGAAATGGAGGTAGGTACAGTGTGTTTTGCTCCCTGTAAGTGGGCCTCAGTTTGTCAGAGGGGAGTGGAGCAAAGTGGACACACATGCACAGAAATAAAGAGCCCAGACCACATATGACGCACTCACCAAATTAATCACTTCTTGTTAAACTGCAAGCAAGTCTGCGCAACATCAGGGATACAATGTATGTATCAAACTTATCAATCACTATCATTTGAGCGGAAAAGAAAAAGGCTACATCTGTGGTGTGTTTGACTGTTTGTTGCCTTATCGTTATCTCTGCTTTTTCAGTGATTAGACCACGCTCACACAGTTTGAATAGAAGTGCAGGATTTCTTTGTGATGGGAACTGTTTCATATATATATGAGCACATATGAAAGTGTCCCCTTTCACCTTCAGTACTAGGCTTATACTTGTGAGCACAAGTTTTGTGTTACTCATAAAAGTAGTTTAAAAAAGAGAAACTTTTAAATAGAAGTGCGAATAATAACTTAATAGACTTACTCGAATGTTGGCAGTATACATCTCAGCCTGTATTTATGCTGTTTGATCCCCACAGGATTTTCTGTTTTCATTTGACATTAGTATGTGCAGCTGGTGGCAGGCTCACTACAGAGATAAAGTTGATTTGCTGTACTGAGGAAACCACTTTAAAGCTTTGAACTCTGTGCCCATTTGTCCCCATGTGTAGAGATAAGTTTGGAATCCATCCATGTTGGATATATTTAGGAGAGTGTTCCCCTGTCCTAGCTAGCTCAGTGTCTGCATGTGTCTGTGTGTGTATGTGTATGTGAGAGTTAGAGTGAGAATGATTATATTTGTACCCAGTGGCCTTATCAAACCCACCAGTGTGTGTGTCAGTATTAATAGCTTTCGCTGGGCTTTCAATGTTTGAGACAAAACCCTATTTTTCACTCCCTATCAGCCTCTTTGAGCCATTCCTTCGCTATTAACATCTTAATTTGTGTCTCCACTGATCAGCTTTTATTTTTAGTCTGTTTTTACTTCTGCATTTGCCATGGTGTTCTTTCTTGAACTCACTCCTCTCACATAAGTCTTATTGACACTGAATGATGTGACACGGCTTTAAAACTGAGAGTTTAAAGCACTAAACATCTTGGAAAAGTTTGCGAGCTAAATAACTCATGAGCTTTTGTATCTAGCACATCGGGAGCTGGAACCTTTCCTTAATAGAATATGAAAAGAATAATATACGGAGGCTTAAAGTTTTCCCTTTGTTTTGTTTTTGTGGTTTCCCAGGAAACCTAATGGAGAATATCGCAACTCCCCCATTACCAAGGACCGGAGCCGGAGCCCCAGTGAGCGTGTGATGCTGCCCAGTGCTTTGGGAGTCCACAACAACCACCTGTACACCCACACCCACCACCTGGCTAACTTAGCCAGCATGGACCAGCCTCTGGCACTTACCAAAAACAGCATGGTGGAGACGGGACGCAGCAGCTCAGCAGCTTTGGCCACAGTGGCCCACACGGTCAGCGCAGTGGAACGCCAGCAGGTAACAGCGTCGTTCTTTTGGCCATACACACCTATCTGAGATTGTGGAGTGAAATGCTTCCCGGCTGCTTGGTTCATAGTCAATGGAAATGCTGAGAATGGCTCTTCTTCAGACTTCATCTGTACATGAATTGTTCCCAATTTCTTCAACATTTACTCTTCTTGGGCCTTTTCTGTGTCTGTATTATTTATTTGCTGAATCTTTGTGCTCCGGTTACAGAATCGGCCCTCGGTGATCACCTGTGCCCCAGCCAACAATCGCAACTGCAACCTGTCACGCTGTCCAGTCTCCCACAACGGATGCTCCAACCTCACCAACAACTACAGGAGACTCAACAGTGAGTAGCACAAGCTGGCCATACTCTTTCTGCTTCTGTTTACAGCACTTCGGAGGTTGTGAAACCTCGACATGCTAGATTTAGAGTTTTGTCGGTTATCTCTACTTTAAAAGATCTGACTTAGCCAAACACATGTCTGTTTTTTTTGCCCTCTCCATGTGTCATGTTTTCTGTGGGTTGATAAATTTATATGAGCTGCTTTTATGATCCCAGTGAAATCTCAGTGATCTCATTGAGGTTGACAGTGAAATTTAAAACAGTCATTTAATATTTGGTGGGTAAAAAAATGCTATGAAAAGTGAAGTACATCTTTCCAGTTGTCTTAAATTCACATGACCAGTATTAAAACTGATGTTAGGCCATAAATTAGCCACAGACTTTTATACAAGTAAAAATGTGGAACGTTTCTGTTTTCATGATCAATCTAGTGACTAAAAATGTTTTCTGTCTTGCGTTAGCCAATACAGCATGCGATCCTGTGATCGAGGAACATTTCCGCCGCAGCCTCGGGAAGAACTACAAGGAACCCGAGCCCACTGCCACCAACTCTGTGTCCATCACAGGCTCAGTGGATGACCACTTTGCCAAGGCGCTAGGCGAGACCTGGCTCCAGATCAAAAACAAGGGGAGTCCCTCATCATCCGGCAGCAGCCCAAACTCCTCTCCCGACAGTCACATGGTCAATCACAACCACTCCCCTTCTGTGGTCTCCTGAAGGGGGAGGAGCACCCCTCCCTTTCCGTGTCTTCGCTCAGCCAATCATCCGGTCTCCATGCCCTGCCACTTTGGTCTGTCACCAGCATCCCAGAGGGAATGCCTGCCTGCTGGTCTGCTAAAAACAGCCAAAACCCTGAAGCCTGCTCTCATAGAGGATCTCACAAGCAATAAGACATGGTCACCTTTCCCTCTGTCCTCCAGAATGCTAAAACCAGACAGTAATCGGTGGTGACTGGTGAGGAATCTGTGTGAAATGTGACTGGAGCTTTGGTTGACTCCCTCCAGTCATTCATCCCTGCAAGTTGAGCTTGGAGCTGAGCGAGTGTCTGTAGTTATATGTACATAAACAGAGAGAGGAACCATGGTATTTTAACGTTGAACTTTCTTCTTTGTTTTTTTTGTTTGTTTGGTTGTTTGTTACTTTAACAGTAGTTTTGTGTACTGATTCTGCATCATGCGACATGTGGCGTTTGAAACGAAAAGAGAAGTGAGAACAATCACGAACCACCTGACTGCTACCAAAGAAACCTCAGACACTGATGTTTATCAATGCCCACCTCCAGAACACGAGACAACAAAAAGCCATCTTGTGAACCCCCTCCATCCGTCATATCTTCATCTCACACCCTCCGTCTCTCTCCTGTGGAGCTGTTCTGGTTGTTTTGTTCATGTGCGTGCGCCCTTAGATCCACCGGTCTGTTTTGCACTACTGCTGAAGAGCGGAAAGCCCAGCGGGTCAGCTTTGTAATCTGCCACTGGTCAAGCTGACTTTCCTCTCAGTCACTCATTAGCTTTCCTATTTGGACCTCTGTTTGATCTCCCATTAACTCCAGTCTAAAACTGGTCGTATTCCCTGTATTATTTATTGAAAGCATTCCCAAAAAAACTGAATATGCACATTGGTCAGTTTGGGCAGCAGACGCGTGCTTCTTTTTACACATTTGCCTAGCAGCCAGATAGAAAATACCGACTGAATTTGTCCAGCTATTAATTAAAACCACTTCACGTAAATGTTAAGAGGGTGAGTAATGGTCTGGATAGGACTCAGCTCCAGATCTGAGCTCTGCCCTCACCATTAGCACTCACTCTGTCAGGAGCCAGGTGAATAAAGGGTGAATGAATGCTACATCTGTATTGTAACTTGTATGTCAGACCACCATGAGAAGTGTCTGGCAGAGCGGGATATTTACAAATAGAAGTTTAATTTACGCGCCGCGCTTCAAATTCATAAAAGGGAAAAATGTTCTTGGAGTAAATGTGTTCTAGCCTGTCTAAGCAGTTTGGTGTAAAAAGAGCCTCTACTGCCCAGCCCTCCATTCAAGCTCCACTTGAAGTTAAATCCCAACTTTTATTTTACTGAGCAGTGGGGATCAAACCTAAAAGCAACACTTCCTCTAAAAATGGCTGCCTGGGGTTCACAGGCAGGATCAGCCAGTGTGGGAAGGGGTCGGGCTTTGCTGAACAATGTGCTTTGATGTGTTTCGCAGGTGTATCTGCTGACAGGGATGAGAGGATAGACAACACTGCACGTGACTTTGTGGGTTTTTTTACAAAAAAAAAAAATCCAGTTTCTCAGATGAGAGGGAGAAAGTTTTCACACCTCTCTTTTTCTGACCCAAGTTCTAATGCTAACCGGCTAACACCCTGCTATCCTCCCGTCCCTTTCCTACACACTGTGGTTTGAGTGATTTCCTCTAAGGTTAAATTATGCTTTTTCAGATGCATATTTTTGTGTTGTTTTTTAATAGCTGGTATCTATTAGTGTTTTTAGCATTTCAAACGTTAACTACCATTAGCCTTTTCATTCAGACGTTAGTTGTTACTTGTTTTGTCGTCGGTAACAGACATAGATAATATACACTCACTGCTGGGTCAGTTGTACTCCATATTATTGTTGTCGTTGTTATTACAGTTTTGTATTTTTGTTCTCCATTAATATCAGTATGGTAACAATCATCTGTAGTTAGGGGCAGCCTCTGGACAGGCTCTGTGGGATGAAACCAGCTGCGTCTCAAAGCCGCCGCCGCTCAGAGGGAAGATGCTCCCGGCGTCAGGTCGGCTTTGGGATGCTCAGCTTCCATAAGATGTTGATCCATCGGTGGTACAGGATGCTACAACCTTAGGTGTGACAAAGCTGAGACACCAAGTCAACAAATTCATCAGAGGGGCTTTCCCCCCAAAACCCAGCCGGCCCTTTCCTTATTTTAAGCATCTGGTCGGAGACAAAATCAAAGTGTAGTTCAGAGTGTGTCATAATCAAACGTCTTGGTGACACAGTGTGTTAAATATCACACTTAACGAGGAAGGGATTTTGAGACAAAACCATAAAGAAAGGATGACACAGCACAGCCCTGCTTGCCGGCTAAAGCGAACAACTGATGTTTCTCTGACTTGGCGTCCAGTCTTTTTTGTGTTGGTCTTTTTTAAATCGTATTTCATTGCTTTCTTTTCTGAAGAACAACGCGTGATTTCCTGCAGTTGCACTCGACTGCAGCACTGTCAGACATCAGCGCCGAGGCGGCACACATTCCTCCAGCAGGGAACCTAACACGCTCGCTGACCCTTCCCTTAACGGGCAGAGCCGGTCGCCGGCCAGGGCCGCTGGTCCCAGAGTTCCCTCCCGGCTGTAGATTGGCCGCACGAGAACGCTCGAGAGAACTGAGGCGGTTTTAGCCGACAGTGGACAGGCCTGTCGTTCTGTATGAGATGTACGGATGTTGGGGAGCTGAAGTTAACAGGTGACGGGGTCTAGATTTGTTTGCTTTTTGGCAGTTTGGCAAAGGTGTCCTCTTTTCTGTAAAATGTCCACACATTCCATCGTCCAAACAGATGTGACAGAACCCGGACTGGCGGGTTTCAGAAGGGTCAGATGCCGTGGGGCCGGTGGGGCCGGTGGGGAGCTTCAGGAGCTGTGCTTCTGGAAGCGCACGCTGTGAGTCCTGCGGCCTTGGCCTGCAAATGAACGTCCGTTCAGGCTCTCACAGAGATGCGCACCCCCTCCCCACATCCACCCGCCCAGCTAAACACCCAGCATAGCATCAGGCCAGAAAACTGGAGGGAAAGGTGGTGTCCAGAGGGTTTTGTTTTCTATTAATATTTACTTTCTCATTATCATTTCACTACCACCTTGTAGGTAGGAGGGGCTCTCTAAGCTCCGGCACACACTCCCTACACACCGTAGGAAAATCACTTAATAAAGATACTTTTTTTATAATAGGTAACTATAAGACCATCATTACGCTGTGCGTAAAGAATGTACAGAGAAAAAAATCGTAGGTATTTTTTTGAGGAACAATTAATTTGTTAATGATATGTAGCTATTTAATTGTTTTTTTTTGTTTGTTTTCCTGTCCTTATATTGTAATCATTGCATTTTCTTTTTTTTTTTTTTGTGAAAAAAAGTTGATCTTTTTTGTTTGTAGAGTGTGTCTCTTTAGACTAAAGGTTCAAGTGCAGGAACACAGGAAACGTATGAAACCACAACAAGCCGCAGGCGTGTCGCTGACAATCGCTACTTCCATGGATCCCAGCGCCCTCCAATCACTTTAACTCGTGGTCGACCACGTGACCCCCCTAGACACTTGAACAAAATAAATCTCTTCAAGTATTTTGACAGCTTCAATGGCACCATTTTGGTTATGAAATTATATACGACAAACCCATGAATCACATGCTAGCAAGCAGGCGCCGTGTCCACACTGTGAGCAGAAACTGTGGATGTCACAGATGAGAACTGAGCAACATGTAAACACTTCGGTCCATTTCGGGGCATTTGTTGAACTGATCAAAGGAGTAAAAGAGCTTGATGATGTTAACTAGAACTCTGCTGCCAGTTCCCATCTGTAATCAAGCTGAATTCTGAGCAGATAAATCAAAGAGAAGTTGCTCTTTACTCTGCCTGCACCACATTATCCAGTTCCTTTTTTGAAGTGGAAGTAGCTTGTACTTAGTGGTAGTAGTATTCTGAACTGTAACGAAGTTTTTTTTTTTTTTTGAGAAACAATTTGTGGCTCTGTGTCTCCTACTAAAAAGGTTTTGGCAGGCCACCTTTTTTGTACGTAAAGTAGCCTTGATGAACAATAAAGTGCTTTTAAACCACCGTTTGGGCCTCTGTCCTTCAACTGCTTCCAAGTGTTTGTGTGAAAGTTTGAAGGGCTTCTGCAGGGAGTTTTGAAGGGCTGCTGCTAAATACAGCAAGTGTGTGGAAGGGTGTGGAGTTCCCCGTCAACTACACTGTCGAATTCATCTCCTGCTCTTTGATGCCTACGGCCGGCAGATAGATCCTTTATTCCAGTTGCTTAAAGTGTTACAGAGAAACATAAGCTGGAAAATGCAGTTTCAAGAAAAAAACATAACGCAGAACAGAAAACACTGCTCCATTAAAATGCCATCTACATTTTTTACATTCATTACTGATTATTGTTAGACAATCCGAAGCAAATGTCATCCTTTTTTTTTTTTCCTGCTGCACTTGATCCTCTTTCACAAATAGTCCAGACACTGTGGACATATCAAAGTCATTACATGGATAGAAAAAGAAAGGGAGAAACTACACCAACGGCTACATGCATCAACACAAACCACCCAGGCCCTGCGGTTCCTCCGCCGTTAGGTTCCAAGCTGTCTGCTCCAACTGCACGTCATTAAACCGTACAGTCACATCTGTGCGCAGGTTCCCTCACAGGAATCGTTCCAGAGCTGGTTTTAGTATCAGCTGCAGTGTATATACAACAGTCTCTAGTAAACACAAAGGAAGATGGATGGATTTGCTGAGTGGTCAGCTGTGTTTTTGCCTTCTCACAGCTAACCTGAAGCTCTTTCTCAAAACTGAACGAGCGAGCAGATGTCAGCGTCTTCCCAGATGCTTCATCACTAAGCGATATTACAAATAGGGATTGAACGTCTCATCATTTAGTGAGGGGTTTGTCGATGGGTTTTCCATAAGTAAAAGAGCAACTGATTACTCGTCAACCGGTGATCTTAAATACAACGGCAGCACGCTGTGAGGTTTGTGCTTTGCTAATGATTCAGATGATTCGCTGGTTACTTTTCACCTGGTAACTCCTCTGTTTTTAGGTCCACTTTGTGTTTAATAGAATTTAATGTTTGCAAATGTGAAATTCAGACAGGAAGAAAAGCACACAGAGTGTGAAGTGGAGTGGGTCTGTGGCTGCGCTGAGCTGCTCGGGGGTCCTCATATGCTCTCGTCATCGCTCATATCCCAAATCTGATGAGGAAAAAGACAACGTTATTGAACACGACACTTTTTGGTTCAATAAAACAAAGTCCACGTGGTTTGACAAACCGGTGTCAGACCATACGGACATTAATGTTGCCGGTGGGTTTATTTCTTATTTTTGTTAACATAGAACTTTAGTCAGGCTTTCTGCTTAACCTTACAGAGATTAAATGATGAGATGAGGGCTTTTTTTTGTTCTAATAAAACTAGTTGGAGAGACTTTTTGAGCTTTGAATTCATTATTTACTTGGACACCAGATCACATATTGATGTTATTCAGCACACATGTCGGACACCCCCCAAAGTTAGTTCTCAGTGTTGGAAGATTCATTAAAATGTACAAGGAAGCCATTCATTAAGAAATACAACCGGTTCCACCTTAAGAGAAGGCAAATCTTTAAATGCACTGATGTGTTTTAAAACATGCAAAATGTATCGAGGCAAACCTCAAGCGATTCTGTAGTCTGTTTAAACTCTGAAAACTTCTACTGTAGCAAAGGGGGAAGGCTTTAAAGCTGGTAGTAAGGTGAGGATAATAAGTCATAAGATCGTAAACTTAAAATAACTGTCATATGGCAGATCCCCTAAGGTAAAAAAAAAAAAAAAAAAAAAAGCCTGTACGACCCCTGATGATTATATTTGAAACCACCAAGAAGACACGCAGTCTGTTTGGGAGAAGACTTTGAATAGACAGATATCCACTAAGGAACTATTCCAAGGATTGACCTGAATGGATTTCTCTGTTTACCTAAAAAATTATCAATAAATAAAGCAATCCTGCCTCTTCAGAGCCTGTAACCTTTGTGGCCTTGGTTGCGGTGCACTGTTATCCACGTCGCACACTCATGCCGCACAAACCCAGCGCACACACACACACACACACACACACACACACGTGAGCTCCAGCTCTGCAGTGCAGTCTGGGGCTGCGGTCCAAACGCCGGACACACCTCCTCATTCACCATGAAAGGGGAGCCCGGGGGCCAAACGTTGACTGGTATTGGTGGTTCAAAGCTCTTAAACCGCACGCCCGGGCCGAGTTCGTTTAGCCTCTGATAATCGTCACAAATGTCGTGTTTAGTTTGGAAGCTGGATCAGAGGAAGTGATGAGCAACAACATCCCCCTCCAAAGAATATACAGCTCAGTGTGCACCAGATGTCGGAGAGCTCTGAAAATAATCACAATCACTGCTAAGAGGTTTCTTACCGGGATGTAGCCCGCATACACACAAACACACGCCATAACACACACACGCACACACACACTGGAAGCTCCTTTGCACCAGTGTGTCAGTACACAACAGTGGCTCTCTCATGGCGGCAAATTCTTTACATTCTCCTTCTCTAAGACGTCATTCACACACAGACACTTTCTGGAATGTCACAAACACACGTGGCTCTGGGTGTGCGCACGCACGCTCCTTCCACGTGCACAAACGCATTCCTCTGCTCCGTGTGCCGAGTAAAAGCTGATACGCGGCCGACGTTTTCAGGGAAAGCCTCAGCGTCTGGATCGGTTCGTGCACGTTGGAAAAAAACACCCAACACACATCGATGGAGATCAGTTCCTATCCAGATGGAGAAATGATGACATCAATCACGCAGGAACCTCTACAACCTCCTAAAATGTTTCTCTAAAAAGATCCCTGTTTGACCAAGTGTATTCTGTTTCTTTGAAATCCATAAAGGGCAGAAAATGTTGCAGTTAGAAATCTTAATCAGTGAAAATGGGTCTTTGGAATGGCTCTGCAGCGAGGACCTGGGTTCATCCCGCTAAAGATTGTGAAGGAGGTGGAAAGCATATCAGGAGCCCTGTGGTAGTTCATTATGAATAAATGTGCCGTCGCACTGTAAAAATGCAAATGCCCAATCAGATTTCTCTTGTAAACCTGTTTTACTGTATTTGGGATGGAGTTGTTAGCATCTCAACTTAGCTAGCTGCAGCACAGCATCCCTCCTACCTCTGTTTACATACATGGCATTACCACGTAATGTACGTTTTTCTCTGTCTACTCTGGGAGAGTGTGAAACGACAGCTTCAGAAGGAGGACAAAAGGCTGTAAAGTCATTAGTGTCAACAAACATCAAGTAAAAAAAAAAAAAAAGAAGGGTAGTGAGGCCCGTCCTGCGGGACATGAACCTGTCCCCCAGTCGGCCGGGCACAGCCTGCGTCCACAGCGTGGAGAATCAGGGACAAATTCATATCAAAGCTGGGCCTTCTGCGTTTCTGCCCCACTGCAATCAAAAGGACGGCGAGCAAAAAGCCCTTTATAAGCCGGCCACAGCGGAGCCCCTCTCTGGACGCACGCCAGGCCGCACCGACGGTGTGTGTGTGTGTGTGTGTGTGTGAAATCTTTTGTGCGATATAGAGAAAAGGAGCTGGAGGTGGGAGGGAAAAGGGGGAGATCGGGAAAGGCAGGGGGGTGTAGGGGGGGGGGGGGTATTATGTAACATGAATAGTTTGAGCAAACTCAAGCCAGCGACTTTACTACAACTCTTTCAAGCAGGCCTGAATAGTCGGGATGTTTTCAACCTTTCACCTCCACTGTTGTTGCAACGCATAAGCCGATTTCTGGAAAGCCAAAATCAGCTCGGTCCAATTAGAGAGATTATTGATTTCACTGAGCTCTGTTAATGAGAGTTCACAGATAACCGAGTCCTGAATGCAAGCCGAAATCTAAGGTTTTATTTATTTAGAAAATATCTGGATAAGCCGAACAACATCCCCTTCAGTCTTATCTAACATTTTTTTTTGTTTTAAACTCACCTTTACCTGAAAGCTTTACAAAAAAAACAAAAAAACAACCAACCCCTAATTTTGGGGTTGATAAATGCTTGGAAGACTGAAAATCTTTATCCCATTTGCCATAAGACTCCACTACCTGACAAATATGAGCCTGAAAGTAATCAAAGAACTAATAAAGATTGAAGTAAACATCCATTACAGAGTAACTGAGCAGTGGTTGAGGGAGATTTGATGAATTTAAGGAAGTTATTGTTGTTGTTGTTATTGTTTCCATCAGCCTGTTATGCAATATTAGTATTCGGAGGTTAAAGAGCGTTTGGAAATCCGACAAATGAAAAGCATCTCTGCAAATGTGTTTGTAATCGGCTGGGCTCCACTTGATACGGCAAACTTAATCCAGGTCGGTTGTAGAAAGGAGGCTGGGTTGTGATCAGATAGTGGAGGCTTCAGCTGGAGCCGGGGGCGGGGGGAATAGAGCCAACCCTCTGCTCCTGCTGATTACAGCCCCCCCGCTAACAACACGAGCCTCAGCCTCAGGGCCTCTAGCTCCCCGACCGTTCCGCGGGCTTCGGTTGAAGTTGGTGCTTCTGGAAAAGCGATGCCAGAACTCCACTTATTTGCTTTTTGGGAATTAAGAGGCGCAGAGTCTGTGATTTATTTGCCGCCGCCGCCACTTTTGGGCAGATGAATTTGTGTTGTTGCTCCTCGGGCGAGCCGTTTAAAAAATAATTAGCCTCCTTACAGAGGACTGCATCCTAAGTGTGGGTGGCCCCGGTGGGACTCCAGCCTCTGAAGACATTCACCCAGGCAGCACTGCACACTAAACACCCATCTGCTTTACATATTAGGACTGACACCAAAGCGCAGAGTGGAGCTTTCATCATGGAGACTGGCTCCGTCTCATGTGTAATTAGAGGGCCACACAGAGTGATGCGGTTTAGGGGCTGCTGGATGCAACAGCGAGGGAGAAAAGTTCCAAAAATCCACTCAATCCAAACTTCTGCTCTGCCACTGTGATGGTGGCGAGCGTGATCGAGTTCTGACTAAACCCGGGAGAGCAGCTGATGTTTATCCTTCCTCACGGCGTTGACATCAATGACTGAGATGTCTGTGAGGCTGGCAGCAAGTTCTGTCCTCTGCTTTGTTGGCTTGAGGAAGGTAGAGATTTCTGCTTGTACGCCGGCTTTCCGTCCATTTCTTAAACGTTCTTGTGCCAATGACACAACGACAAACGCGCAACAAAATATCTAAGAAGATTCCTCACATATTGGTGTTCAAACCACGTCCAAGTTGGAGCCCACTGACTAGATACAAGTCAGGAAAAACACTGATTTCATGGCTAAACTTTTCACCCTTCAATGATCTTCATTCCAGACCAGAAAGAGTTAGGGAGGAAAACAGTTATAACAGAATAATAATCAGTAAACCGGGTCACACAGGTTGACTTTTCTTTTTGGTTAATTCAAAGTTAATTTAATGTTTTGTGCTCATTTTAGTGAATTCTGCAGCCTGTTTAAACCTGGTGACCACCAAGGGGTCCCATCTGAGGTTGGAGTGTTTCACGTCCAACTTGCCGTCATGCCGCAGGTCAATCGAGTCGGGGAGTCTTTTTTTCCGGTCCGTTAATATTATCGCTCAACAATCAGTTGAGTACAAAACGCAAAAATAGATTGTGTTTATCATTTGGTCTCTGAGGTTATGGGCAGGCCACAGAAAAAACTGTCAAACGCTGGAGACAACAAGGGCTGCTGTTATGACTCACAACAGGGATGCTGGAGGCTGCACGTTCACCACCATGCGGGGGGGCCAAAGGATCCAACCCATTACCAGTGAAAGTGACATCACCGCTTACGCCAAAGGAGGGCCGAGGTGTAAAACCGTCATATCCTGTGCAGTGCATGCCTTACAAAATGATCCGATTCGTCACAGAATCCATCCTTAATTTCTGGTAGGGTGTCAATCGGAATGTTTTGTCATGTCTCTTTATAATGTAGGAAGGCTTTTATCTAACAAAGGCATACAAAAGATTTACTGTCTTATCCACGTCTTCAAAGAAACCAAAGCTTTTTGAGTTCTCTCCCTTTGAAGCATCAGTTCAGCCTGAAGAATCCACCAGTCATGACAGGCATTGGAGCGTGTAAACGGCAGGTAGGGGTGTCTGCTGTGGGGTTTCTTCTAACAGGTGATTTATATATTCGCCAGTGTTGGATTTCATGATTTATGTTAATAAGAGGGTGTGGGA